GATATAGAACTAGAAGCTTACAAGAGGCTTGGATTTCCAGATAAAAATTACAATATTTTGGAATGGTGGAAAATTCATTCACCTCAACTTCCAATTTTGTCTAGAGCTGCTAAGAAAGTCTTGTGTGTCCCAGCGTCATCAACTTCTTCAGAGCGTGTGTTTTCACAAGCCGGAAATATTGTGTCATGTAAAAGAACTTTACTAAAAGCCAAGATAATAGAAAAACTTGTGTACGTTAAAATCAACATTAGTAAAGTTACTATTAAAAAATGGCTAATCGAGGAAGAAAATGTTTCATCAGCTGACGCAATAGACTAATTTTTGTTATGTAAAACTGTTTATGTAAAAATAAACAATTAATTGAGCTATAATTTTTTTTCAAATTGCTAAAACATATTTCAAATATTGAAGATAACTTACGGTATTAGACCCTTCAAATTCCTCTAATTAGAAAAAATGGGTCTTAAACACAAAAATAGCATTCTAAAATTCTAGAATCTCGTTTATTATCGTATAATATCGTAAAATATCGAACTGAATATCGATAAGTTCGAAATTCAGTAAAAATATATCCAGTTTCAATATCGAAGTTCGATACTGTGTTTATGTAATATCGTAGTATCGACAATATCGACTTTTATGAATATCGCAATAGCTTACATAACACACAGACGCATATACAAACACATACAAACAAATACAAACACACATAGATGCATTTGCCATGAGGCAAATCTAGGCAACATTTTTTATTGTCTCTAAAAATTTTGTCAGACATTCTTTTTTACCACATAATCAGAATAAATTAAAATTTTTTTATTCATATGATTAGTAAAACATACAACAAAGGTTTTAAGCAACAACAGGTACAATGTAGATGTGCAATGATAGGTATGATTTAGATGTACAAAAACAGGTACAATGAGTCTTAACGCAAAAAAAGTTCTTAAACTCATTTTATATATTTATAAAGTTATAATTATAACTTATAAAATTTATAATATAATTTATAACTAATTTATAAAATTATATATAACTTTGTTGTCATTAGGTTGCATAATATAAGTTATTGGTTTTTATTACTACTTTTGTTGTGTATTTTTGTTTTTTTATTAAATCAAATAACTAACAAAAGCAACAGATAATTAGTTTTTATTGTAGATAAATTTTGTTTACTTTTATTAAGAATAACAGGGCAAAGACTTTATTAAGAAAGCCTGAGGGCTATTTTATTTTAACATCTCCACTTTCAACAGCCACTATTAGAATTGGAAGTTAATGGAAGAGAAATGAAAGTTTATAGAGCAAGATAATGATTAACAGACAATTTAAAATATTTCAAATTATATGAATCAGGAAAACAAGATGAAGAAAGCAAATTTCAAAGAACTGATGTTCAACAAAAAAACTAGACGAATAAGAATTTTGGAGTACTTAGAAATAGTCACAGTAAAAAGATGAGACTTAATTGAATGACGAGTAACACAAAAATGAATTTAAGTAGATGACACAAAAGACAATAGCTCTTAAGAGCAGTGCCTATTATAGTATTTATAGAAAAGAGAAAGAGAAGCAACATTATGACGATGTGATAGTGGTTGGAGGTTGGTTGCAAGAGCAGTTTCAACTATGTTTACAATGCATTTTTGCACCTTGTCTTAAAGAGAAAGGGCATCATTGGAAGATTGGCTCCAGATATGGCAATAGTATTCCATACAAGGAAGAATTTGAGATTTATAGAGGTAAAGAATAGAATCTCGAGTTAGAAAGTGATGAGCACATTAAGGAGATGCAACCTTAGCAGATACTAATTTTGCAATTGATTTGATATACGGTTTCAAAGAAAGATCGGAAGTAAGAGTTAATCCTAGAAGATGAAGGGTAAAGGACTCATAAAGTACATTACCGTTCATAAATATAGGAAGGTCTAATTATATATATATATATATATATATATATATATATATATATATATATATATATATATATATATATATACATATATATATATATATATATATATATATATATATATGTATGTATATATATATATATATATATATATATATATATATATATATATATATATATATACACCAGGGATGCGGGGTCCCAAAAGGACCCCGGCTTTATATCTCTACTTTTTCTGCAGAAAAAGAAGTCTGTAGTGTCCAGAAGCTTTAATCATGTTTGTTGACTTATGATTTGCTATAAGAAAAAAATTCATGAGATTTAATGACTTGAAACGTATTGTTTTTAAGTCCAGAGTTCTGGAGTCCTTGAGTTCTTGCCACCATTATACCTAAAGACTTTGGGTTCAAAAAATGATTTTTCCTCTAACCTAAATATCTAAATTTTTTCCTATTAGTAGTCCATAAACTTATTTATATTTTGAGAGCTCCTGGATACCAAAAACTAGGATGAAGTAATCTTTTTGTAACATTCAAATTCGGAGTCCTTTTTGGGACTCCGCATCTCTGATATATACAAATATACATGTATATATATATATATATATATATATATATATATATATATATATATATATATATACATATATATATATATATATATGTATATATATACATATATATGTATATATATACATATATATGTATATACATATATTTATACATACAAGGACAATTCCATTTTTGACTTATAAGCGCAACAACTTTATTAAATATTTGCCTATTTAAACTGTAGTATAAACTTTTGTATGAAAGTCTAAAGAATTAAATAAAGTAAAAAGTTTTGAGTCTGGCCAAACGAGGGAGAACTTATTACTGAAAATGCCACTTAACTTATGTTACACAAAAAACAAGATACAACAACTTTTAGGTCAGGTTTATGTGAAACAGTAAACTGGTTCTCTATACCAATTAAAAAAATATATAAAAATTTATTAGAGGTGACCGGCTAAGGAAAATAAACTGGTTTTTTCTATACTATATATTTAACTTATGTTACATCACTTATGTTACCAAGAGATCATTATTGTGAATTTTTTATATCTATTATTAAAAGTTAGAGTTATATAACAAAAGAATTGCAAAAGTATTGAACTGATTCATTAAAAATTATTAACAAAGGAAAATTTAAAAAACTGATCGCACTCTTCTTGAATGATTTTTAATAACATTTACGAAAATTATCAAATCGAAAATAGTTTTTCTGCAAGACCAAGAGCAACTTTAAAAAAATTATTTAAGTATTACAACTTTATTAATACTCATTTGAGTCATTTAAATAAAATCTTTGGTTTGCAGAAGTTTCTAATTACACTTCTTATGTTTATGCATATTACCTTGTTTTTATAAGGTTGAATTTTTAAAATGCTGCAAAGTATTACATTTAAATCTTTTTAAATACTTTTGATGTAAAAACTGCTATCACAGTTTAGTTGGGAGAGGGGGTTCAAGTACATGTGATTATTTGTGACAGGAGGAAAGGGGTTAAGAATTAACAAATATAGGATGATGTGCTTAATAGATGACCCCCTTGATTGCATTTATTAATTAAACAATTTGTTTTACTAAAACAAAAATAAAAAAAGCTTATAACTGATTATTTATATTAGGAGAATAGCAAATAATTTTTTTTTTATAATTTTTAAATAAAAATATAAATATAATAAAAATAATTTTTATCTTTAATAAAACAATAATATAGATAATTTTAATTAACATTAAAAAAGAATAAAAGAATTATTTTCGAAATTCTCTTAACATAAAAAGTTTCAGCTAGAACTAACGCAACAAAATAAGAACTACTTAATGAACTACTTTAACATTTTGTAAACAAATATATATATATATTTTTTTTCTTTTTCTGTTTACATAACATAAGAATTTTACGAACTCCACTACATAATATAAAATTTAACAAAATAAGTAAAACAGATAGGGGCTCAAAGAAGATGAGGATGACAGAACGTCATCGCAATCTTTTTATAGAACCCTTTAACAAGATTAAATTAAAATATCATAATATGACATACAAAATAAAAAATTTCAATAAAATATCATAACAAAACGCGTAATCCGCTTATAAAATTTGTCAAGCAACAAACAAAAGTAGAAACAAAACAAAAACGTATTTAAGAGAATTTATCCAAAGCATTATTAACAAAAAATGTTTCACAGGTTTTAAAAATTTCTTTTTTTGTTAAAAACTTGAATGAACTTAACGAACTCACCGTACCTTTGAACCCTTTTTGAAAAATATTCCATACTTTTGGACCTCGATATAAAATGCTGTATTCTGAATATTTATTTATTATCCTAGGCAGTTTATATGTGTTCAACATATTCGCTCTAAGATTATAGTTATCATTTTTATTTAACTCAAACTTATTATTAAAGCTTATAGGAAAGATATTGTGATTGTAACGATATATAAAAATTAAATGCTGGTAGATATTTATTTCAAATACATTCATCATTTTCATATCTTTCATCAAGGGATTAGCATGTTCCCGCCTATTTTTAAATTAAATGATTCTACAAGCATGTTTCTGAAAACTATAAAATTTCTTAAGCTTTGCTGTTTGAGTACTTATCCATGAAATGTTTGCATAGCTGATGAGGCTGTGAATTAGCCCAAAGTAGATTAATTCAAGACTATTTGTATTGATGTACGAGCGAACTCGATACATTAAACCTATGATTTTGATAATTTTTGACTGGATATATATTATATGAGGAAGCCAGGATAATTTTTCATCAACAACGATTCCCAAGAATCTTATATTGGATTTCTTTTTAATTAATTTGTCATTTATATATATATATATATATATATATATATATATATATATATATATATATATATATATATATATATATATATATATATATATATATATATATATATATATATATATGTATATATATATATATATATATATATATATATATATATATATACATATTATATATATATAATTTTTATTATTTCATTTCAATATATAAAAAGCATTAAAATAAATATTAATCTACCATTTTGAACCAAGATCTTTTTGTGTGAAATAATTTTCTTAAGAGATTCAACATGATTTTGAATATGAACTATCTCACTTCTCTTGTTTTTCTGGTAAAAAAATATTGAAAAAAATATTGAAAAGCAAAAAATAAATAACAAAATAAACATAAAAAACAAAAAAGCTTTATTATATTCTTGTTGATTTTTAAATTTGACTCCAGCAATGAGTAATATTTGTTGAAAAATGATTCAAAAAACAATATTTTTTGCTTTCATATCTTATGCAACTTGTTTAATTAATAATTTTTTTGACATGTAATTTTACTACTAAAAATTCAAAACTGTTGTTTATAATTTGTTTAAATAATATCTATTTTTGAGAACCACCATTTTTTCTTAAAATTGCAAATTTCCCCCTGTGAGTAGACTACAATAAATTTGTGAGCAGATTTCAATGAAAATGGCTTTTAAACTCTTTTAACAAAAAAATAAATACAAAACCTCTTTAATGCTATTAATAAGATAACCATTCAGCCTATAAATAAAAAAAAGTTATTAAAATAAAATAAAAATAAAATAAAAAAATAAAAAGTTTAAATATAATTTACCTGTTTATTAAAATTACCTGCTAATGGAATCTTGTTGAACTGCAACAACAACTTTTAATCTTTTTCTTTTTGCTGCATAGCTTTAAAAAAGAATATATATATATATATATATATATATATATATATATATATATATATATATATATATATATATGTATATTTATAACTATTAGCGCTAGAAATAATGGCCTATTAAGGATAAATTATCGTTTATTTTTGAAAAAAATGATGTTTTGATCTCGTGATATCAATTCTTATTGGAATTTTAAGACAAACTTAATGATAAAAAATTTAAATACATTCAAAAACACAAAGTTGAAATTATTAAGTTAGCAACTAAATATTTTATTATTAAAATAAAAATAGTTTTGAGATATTTACTTTTGCTTAAATTGTTTAACAATCTAAATAGTTTGAGATTATTGAACATCAAAACGATGTAATTTACATCGTTTATATATATATATATATATATATATATATATATATATATATATATATATATATATATATATATAAATATATATATATATATATATATATATATATATATTGTTTATATATATATTGTTTATATATATATATATATATATATATATATATATATATATATATATATATATATATATATATATATATATATATATATATAAATTATGTGTAATTTCACTCTATTTGTGTTTCTACAAATAGAGTGCTCAATGTTCTTAAAGAACAGATCAATAATAAATTAGTAAAAACAATCATCTAATTTTTTTCTTCAACAACTTGTTAAATCAAGAAGGCTTCCTGATGAAGCTACTGATGTTGAAACAAATTGTTGAAGAAAAATAAGATAAAGGTTTTTACTAATTTACTATATATTATATAAATATATAAATATATAAATATATAAATATATATATATATATATATATATATATATATATATATATATATATATATATATATTTAAATTTTATATACTTTTTTTAAAATATATATCTATATATATATATCTATATATATATATATATATATATATATATATATATATATATATATATATATATATATATATATATATATATATATACATATATTTAAATTTTATATACTTTTTTTAGAATATATTTATATATATATATATATATATATATATATATATATATAAAGGGTAGGTCGATTTTAATTCCGCATATTGCGTAATATTGTAGTAGTTGTAGACAGTTAAAATACGATTACTCTCAAAATTTGAGAGATTTTGGATAAAGAATCGCTTGCGGATTTAATTTTTAAGATTTGTTGGATTATGTAAAAAAACACCTTAAAAAGCGTTATATGCAAAACTTGACATTTTAACTAAGTTCATATTTAAATGTTTTTCAATACTATTTGCTTTGCTGTATGATTTAAGTTTATAACAGTTTATAACAATTAAGCTAAATTTATAACAACTTGTTAACTATTTGAAGATTTAAATAGTGAAACTTTTATTCTTATATTTACATAAGAATATCAAAATAAACATTATTTTCACAATTTAAAAACATTTTGGCTATGGATATATATATTTTAGGAAAACATTTTCAATTCAAAAATATCATCATAAGAATGGGAATAATGCCCTTTTGAAATATACGGTTTACGCATCTTCCTGCTAAGTAGTTTAGTTAAAATGCAGCTGTGTCGATTCTCGAATCCATAAACATATTGGGATGCGTCCGACACAAGTTTTACCGCTCGCTCAACACTCTGGGAGTGAGATGGAAAGTCGGGGATTTCAGGTTTAACATTATTGTCAATCGCATATTGGATTTGCTCAATTGAAAAATGTTGTGTTGTTGGGGGCTCCGTAAATTTAGTAATGCTGATATCAACCAACTCATACCAATGATTAGCATTAGAATTAATTTCTGGAATTTTTTTCAAATTTACTTCCAAACTTTCGATGTTTACTCTATAAATATAAATCAAATCCAATTACCACATTTAATGTATCATTTTTTTTCAAAACTTTATTTTAGTTTACTATAAAAAAATACCTTTGCCTTAGACCCAGTAGGATTTAAAAACCTAAGTTTCGTATCTTGCTGTCATTATCTTTTAACATGGCATAAAGAATATTTTCAGGTTTTAGGCACAGTGCATTGTTTTTAATGTTTTTTTTAACAATATATTTAACATCATCAAAGGGGAGATTATTTATTCTAGTGATAGTAGAAAAAATAAAGCGCGGGGATTCGTGAAATTTTGAAGATTTTTTTATATCGAACCACGCTGGAGCATAAACCTGAACTATAAAACATACGAGTTTTTTTAAAGAAACAGTTGGTTGATTGTCTCTAGTATACAAACAGAGAAGGCGAATAGCTATAGTTACCTTGCGTGTAACCACCTTGCGTGGTTAAGCGGTCCAATTTTATAGGCGGCCCATTTATCAGAAACTTTACCAAAAGCCTATTCCTTTGCAATATTCAAATAAAAGTCTTTGATCGCAACTAAGGTCTACTAGTATTTCTTTTGGAATATATCCATCTACAATTGGGTTTTCAATACGATTAAACAAAACTTGATTTTTATCCTGAATATTTTCAGCACATCTTTTGCCAAGTAGACCACTAAAGCTTCTTGGCCCAGTTGTGTCACCATCAAGTTTTACAAAAAGAGCTCGTAGCGGAAGTTCATTTTGATGTAATGCGCATTCAATTAGATGTAGTTTTCTTTTTAAAAACTCTTCTAGTTTTACCACTAAGCCACTTATTGGTCCAGTATTGGCAGCAGTATTATCAAGAAGAACAGCTTGTATACTTTCCAAACTGTTATGTTCTTGTAAAACACTAAACGTTTCAGTAGCAAGAACTAAACCTGTAGCACCGGTGACAGGAATCGTCCTATGAGTCAAATAATTTCCACTCGATTTTCCATCTACATAAGTAAATGTGAGGTGATATAAATATAAAATATCTTTAATATCAACGTCATTTTTCAAGAGATAATTTTATGTCATGTAGTAAAGCATTTGCAAGGGCTGCACCTACGTTTGACGAACACTCATTTCTGACTAATTCCATTGCAAATCTTGGAAGTTTAACTAAGTTGTATTTTCCAATAGGATTATTTACTGGTTTCCATTCACCTTCATCCTAAAAAGAGTTAATAAAATAAAACGCTTTCTGTTTCATCTGTTACAAATATTTCATGTATTTATAAAATATTTACCTCCGTATTGGTCAAACCACTTGTTTCTTCAATTAAGTTTACTTGTGCTATGAGAGATTCATCTTCATTAACTAGCTTATGAGATATTTTTTGTCGTTCTTTATCAAGTCTTTGAATCCTTTTGACAGATAATCTATCGACGGAAGAAAGTTGATATGCACCTTTTGGACCAATTTTTTTCCTCTGATCACGAAGATAAGCTCTGTCTTCCAGAGGCACTTTATTACTTTGAGAACAAAGGCATACAATATGTTCTTCGATGCAATTTTATTTATTACATGAAACTTTTCTGTCACTACAGGGAAACACATCTAATGAACAGGAACACGCAGAAATATCAAAAAGTTTGTCCAAGTTTGCATCAAGATTTCTTTTAGCGCTTGCTTTTCCGTGCTTGCGATTAATATCCTTAACAAGTACGAGAAGATCTTTAACTTTCCTATTAATAGATTTGTCAGTTATAAGAGGTAATATTGGGTTTACTGTAGCCCAAATTGATTTTATATTATTGCTAATTTGCTGAGTCACTAATAAGATATCTGCATTTGGATTTATATGAATAAGATAGTAATAATACTGAATAACCTGTCTAAAAGTGCTTGGATCTGTCGTTGATAGTTCACATGGGCCACCACAATATTTTTTTTCACTTTTCATCCGTGTAATTGCAACCTTTACTTTCGGCATTTTTGTAAATTAATTATATATGTAAACTGTATTAAAGTATTACACTTAGAGTAATGGGCAACAGCGTGATTTTTTAGTGGGGGCCTATGCATCAAAAAAACCTAAAATATTAAAACTTACTATTAAAAACCTGCTTTGATAAAAATAAAGAAATAAAACTCTTTTGAAAAGATTTGGGGGCCATGAATTCAGGAAACTCAGGAATTGAGTAAAACCATTAGTTCCATCGAAAAGTTTTATATTTTAATCTACTTCAGAAATTGCAAATCAAAAGTTATGTAATATAAACAGTTTAAAACATTTAAATTTTATATACTTTTTTTAGAATATATTTTTAAAGGGGGGATTTATTATTATTAATTTTTGATCTCTGTTATTATTTTAGTTATTTAAGAAAAACTTATTTTAATTCCTGCATTTAGAAACCAATTCCGATTTTATATAAACATACATACAAACCATGTATGTTTATTTAATAAACATACATGGTTTGCATGTGTAATTTTTTTAAACTATTCTAGTAGGAAAAAAATTCATTTTTCAGAAATAATATATGCAGTTGGCTTAGGAATTTAAATAAATGTACAGTCATTTTTAACATTTTTCCACTGTTGTAAGTTAAATTTACTTAAGAATATTATAAATTTTGTCCAATATAATTTTGCTAACATGTCTAATCTTACTTTTTGTGAAAAAAAATAACTTACAAGAAACTTTATTTTAAAAATTTGTTTTATGATCTTTAAGTGTTACAAAAGCATGGGCAGGGGCGATTGATTCAAATCTGTTTTCAAAATTTGTTTTTTTTTTAGAAATACCTTGCGCTTCTAAATAAGTTGCATTTTTTAAATTTTTAGGGCCTTTCTCATAAGAATTAGCTATATTATTGCATAAAATATTTTCATAGTTTTTCATTAATTTGACATTAGTGATTTTTATCCCTTTATTAACTGCAGATATTTTAGACAAAACAATTAAATTTGCAAAAATCCACACAGTTATTCCAAAAGAGACATCTTGTTTAATAAAACATCGCAAAAAACCTTACTTTATTATAACAAGGAAATTTAGAAAAAGAAAAACAAACATGACTGCTTTGATGTAACAATGGGCAGTTATGATGAAGCAGCAACTATATATTTTAGATTTATTAAGTAGAATAATCAATATTAATGATTTAGACTTTTATTGT